ACAAAAAAATTAATATTTTAAAACTTGTGAAAATTTGGTGCAGCTATAATTTTTTCGACTACTGTACATTAGACTGCATCGCCACAAAAAAGTTGCGGTTTTTCCGGTGGGATTACCAAACCTAGCATATTTTAAGACTTCTATCAAAATATTGCGAAAAAATATTAAGATTTTCGGGAGCTGGACCGGTTCGAAAATACCTCTAAAAATGTATTTTTTTATGAATAAAAATAGTTTCTTAAAGGATTTTCTGGAAAAAATCCCCCCAAATGACTAAACAGTTTAAGCTTAAAAAGTTTGCATAAAAATATTTTAAAAAAATTTTCTACGGAATCATAATAATGAGATTGTTGATGCTGTTTTTTAACATTTTTCAAAGATTTGTGTAAGAAAAACTAGAATAGCTTCTTTACCGATATAGAATTATGAGGTATCAGTGGAGAGGTATTTTCGCACCCTCTTTATTTCTTTGCAAAAAAAACTCATTCACGTCCCAAATTTTTTTTTTATCAAATACCAACACATCTTAATTCAACATGGAATGACACGCGTTTATCTTACCTTCCTTTTTCATACTTTGAATGAGCTTATTCGCAAAGAAATTAAAAGGGAGAGAAAATACCCTACCAACGATACCTCATAAGTCTAAATTGGTAAGGTTTTGGCTGAGTTATTCAAGTTTTTCTTAAACCAGTCTTTGAAAAAAGGTCAAAAATTAGCATCAAAAATCTGATTATTATGATTCCGTAGAAAATGTTTTTGTAAATATTTTTATGCAAACTTTTTAAGCTTAAACTGTTTAGTAATCTGAGGTATATTAAAAAAAAATATATCTAAAAAAAAATTTTTATTAATAAAAAACTAAATTTTTGGAGGTATTTTCAAATCGGTTCAGCTCACGTAAATCTTAATATTTTTGCGAGGTATTTTGGTGGAAGTCTTAAAATGTAATAGATTTTATAATTCCAGTGGAAAACAGTACCAATACATATGAATTGTACTTACACATACACACACACATGAATTAGAACACAACGTAAAACAAGACACAACTTTGAGATCATCGAGCCGAATAGACGTGTTCTCCCCGCCAATTATGTTTTAATAAAATTCCGTTTAAAGATTACCAAAAGGTAGTTCAATATTTTTGTAGTTAACTTCTTGTGGAAAAGTGGTGAGTGTGCCCCCCCTAAAAGTGTTACCCCTGGTGTACGAGTATCGATTTACAATATTAAATAAAAAACATATTTTTAATTTTTTGAGTCTCTCACAGAGGCGGAGACTCTAGTAGGAGTATCGCTTTTGGGTAATAGATGAAAAAAATAATATTAATTTTTTTAGTCTCCGTAGAGGAATCCGAAGTTTGGCCCCTGTGCGACACGTCTTAACCGTATTCAATGGGGACCAAAATTTATATGTGATATCTGTGGCCGTGGTATTACCGATCGCTACCTTTCTGCACCAAAAAAATTACCTGCGTTAAGCGGCAAGAAGCAAGTAAAGCTAAGGTACGAAAATGTGTGCGTTTACAGGCCAACCTAATATTCTCGGCTTGCGTTTTGGAACGCACACCGCACAGTGGTCCGAAACGATAATCTCTAAAGTTCTTTTGAGTGAACCGTTTAGTTGTAGTCCGCTCACCTTAGTGAAGTAGTTCTTTAGTTCATATAGTTTATTTAGTTCAATTGACGAATACATTTACATATCGACATCTGAGTGGAAGATCGACCTATCTCGGCAGACAGTTCGAAAACGCCTTATCTCAGCATATCGAGCCCTAACCGCCAAAATAACGTAAGCGACATTTTATTCAAAATTTTCTTTTTGAGGCAGAAATATTCCTAGAGCATCTAGATACATTTCTGCATCAAAAAGAAAATTTTGAAAAAAATGTCGCTTACGTTATTTTGGCGGTTAGGGCTCGATATTTTCAGTTAATATAGGCCGTTTTTAAACCAAATTCTGAGATAAGGCCTTCTTGAAAAGTTTTCTGAGGTAGAGTGTTCAGCAATTAAATTCTAAAATAGGGCGGTCTTCATCCAAATAGGGCGTTATTGACAAGTTTTCTGATATAGGGCGTTTTTGAACTAGCTGTTGTGATAGGTCGATCTTCCACTCATGTTACTATCATACATCTATACATAGTATACAGGAAAGTCGAGATTCTTTGAATGCGGTAATCTCGAAAACTACTGAACGGATTTTGACGAGATTTTCTCTAATATACTCTGTATCGACAGGAGAGGGACCTTATTTTACTTAGAATTTTAATAGGGTTGCCACCTGTCTAAAAAACTCTAAGTTCCCCAACGTTCGTGGATTACATAAGATGAGGTGTCAAATGAAAGTGCATGTCCTTAGCGTGTACAAAAGCTTTATTATTTTTCAAGTAGGGTTGCCACCTATTTTAACTTATTATCTTCTATACATAGTAGAAAGTTGAGATATTTTGACCACGCCACTGAACGGACTTAGACGAAATTTTTTAAGTATAAGTATCGATTGGAATATTATCTTTAGTCCTTTTAGTTCCTATTAGGGATGCAAACGATGCATCGATGTTTTTGAAACATCGATAATATCGGTTCAATTTTCGATGTTTGCCATCGATGTTTACAATTTACTAACATCGCAAAATTGACGATACATCGATGGAAGTTTTACCGATGTTTTAAACATCGACTTTAAGGAGACTCTCCGACTTTCTTTCGGTATGTTTGACTGACCTTAAATATATTATTCATTCAGAATTTTTTTGTTATTTATGGCCTTATAACAATTATATTCAACAATTTTATTGAGCTTGAGGCCGTTTATAATGAAAAATGTTATTGAAAACCAACAATAAGTTACAAAATTTCAGAGATCACCACATCTCCTCAGAGACCGCGGTTGTGATTAGTAGATGTGGTGATCTCCCAAATAGCAGCTATAACTTCTTACCTTTGCAAATTACTGTTGCTTTTCCACAACATTTTTCATAAAAAAAGCCCCAAGCTCAATAAAATTGTTGGATTCATTCTGAATGCTAATAACATAGCCGTTAAAACAGAACCAAATATCCCTTAGAACAGGGGTTCTTAAACTTTTAAGAAGATGGAACCCTTACTAAACAATTTTCATTTTATGGAACCCCACATAAAATTACTAAAAATCAAAGGCAGTTCAATTTAAATATGATTAAAAACATTTACTAGAAATAGTAAACATACTTTAAATTTTAATGTAAAGAATGAAATTGTTTCGCTGTTATTAATTACTGTATAAAATAGTAGTTCGTTATAACGTCTGAAAGCTGTATGCGCATTTCTGTGGTAGCATCTAATTTCGACCTGAATTACGTTTTGACAGGAGGAAGCAAAGTTAAGGTGGCCTTTTTAGCGACTTAATAATATTTACTCTTAACACTAACACAAAACTCTTTCAGAGACACAGATTCAAAAGTCTGCATTTTTTACCAAACCATTACTACTACCAACCGAAAAATAATCTGACAAATATTTCAGGTGATTTACCAAGTGCCCAGTAATGACATTTCACATTTCATTTGGCAATTCATCGCGTTCCTTGTAGAGCTGCAAAACTATCGGTGGTTGGACCGTTCGATATTTTCGATAGTTTTGGGCATCCCCATTCGATAGTATCGATACTATCGGTAAGAGAAAAAAATATGGGATCCTTACTACGGCACTATTTATAACAGAAATATTAGTTTTAAACACCATTTTGGTGTACTTTATTAAAAATAAAGTTATTTTAAGCAACAAAAACAACACGTTGCAAGTCTAAATTTTAAACAATTTACAAAAACGAGGCAAATTTGAGTTTTTCAAGTAATCAAAATTTCGAGCTTTTTAATTGGGTTTCCTAGAAAATTTTTGAGCATGCATTTTTGTAGTTTGAAGTAGCTAGGCCTCACTGTTGATTTTTGGCACTTATTTGTATTTGAAGGTTTCCGATAGTATCGCGGTAGTTGGCTACCATTCATCGATAGTGGTGTCAAACTGAAACCATCGATAGTTTTGCAGCTCAAGTTCCTTGTAGAAAGTTGTATATAACCCTTGGGCTACAGCGGCCAACAACACATACCGCTTAAAAAAAAAAAAACTGGCAAGCGCAAGCTCAACGCTCTTATGTAGGTTTGGCACTCAGTACGGCAATCATACTTTCTACGAGTACATATGTATATTTGAAAATAGATAATTGCGTCTCGGTCAAACTGTTTATAGAACTTTTCTTTCTGTGTGCAACCCAAACCGACCGCCGTGCTTATTCATACCAAAAATAATTTCGCGGAACCCCGGTGACTTTCCTACGGAACCCTTGGGTTCCGCGGAACACACTTTAAGAAGCTCTGCCTTAGAATATCAACACGATCAGGCCTAGGATCTTTAGGCCCCGAACGAACTTACGACGGTATGCATTTTGTTTCTAATAATAGAAAGGGTATAGAAAGGATAATAAAATACAGGAAAATACATTCATAATTATTAAGGTATTCAATATTGCTTTAAATTTAACTAGAAATTAACAAATTGCAAAACATCGGAAACCATCGAATATCGATGTTTCTCTGGCGATGTATTTTAGCCTTGATGTTCTTTTCTCCGATGCATCGAAACATCGATGTATCGATGTTACTGCTCAAAATTTGCATCCCTAGTTCCTATAGGGTTGCCATCTGTCTCAAAAATTATAATACCCGAAATGTTCGTTGGATTATCAGAAATGGGGTGTCAAATAAAATGGCTCGGCTCTTAGATGTAGAGTTCGAAATTTCAAACTTTGGTATCGATACTGAGTACTCATTCTGGCATTGAGCTCATGGTATCGATAATCTAAAAGTATCAGGGAAAAAGTATCGATACTACTCAGTATCGGACTCATTAAAATACGTTTTTTGGGATACTAAAATTATTTTATTCTTCAATCATATCTAGTTATTTCCTGAAATTAAAACAATAAAATTTTAAATTTTTGATTTTTATTTCATTGCAGATCTTACTTTCACGTTAGAGGTAATTTTAACGTTAAATGTACATATATACATATATATATATATCTGTGTTCATATGGAATAGTAGCTTATGTCGAAAGGCGGGCTTTAGTATAATGCGGCATTCGCAGCATACGATTGCGAACGACTCACTGGCTCCGAGCCGTTGAAGAACTTGCAAGAAATAGTTCCTATACTAGCAAGTCAATATTCTTATTAAGTCTCATCAAAAAATTCCTTTTCGTTTAAGGGATGAAGGGAAGTTTCTCGCCATAGGCTACTATTCCATACAAACACAAATATACTTTCACGAATTTCAAATTTTATTAAGAATTTTTGTAAAGTTTGTGGGTATGCATTTTTGTAGCCTATTAAATTTTGTATAATAAGGTGCAAGTTTGAATTAAAAGTCAACGGTAGTAGGCTATACGTAATGTTGAATAGATTAAAATACCCAAAAAGTTTCTAAAAATTCTCCATTCTCGTGAACTTTGCGTAAAGTTTTATGGCCTTATTGATAAAAAGTAAAAAAGGTTTATAAACAGAAAAATGTATGAAAGTGCCATTTTATTAAGCTCTTTATACCTACTTTATTTTTTTTATGAAAAAGGCCATTAAACTTTAACTTATTTGGTTTATGTTATGAAACAGATTACACGAAATTTCAGTTTATTTTAAGAGATGGGCAAAATTGAATGATAGTAATCCATATAAGCAAACAAAATTGGGTTGCCAAAGGAAGAACAAATTTAAAAATGGTGTTTTTTTAAAAAGTATTCGATACTACGAGTACTTTGCAAAGTATCGAGTGAAATCACCAAATAAGGTATCGAGTATTAAAGTACTCATTTTTATACCCTATAGTATCGTTCAAACCCTACTTAGATGCTCAATAACGTATTACTTTTTAAGTAGGGTTGCCACCTATTTAAAAATGACTATTTCATTCGAACATGGTATGAATACAAAAAGTGAGATGTGAAGTGAAAAGGCTTGGCCTCCAGATGTTCAATAATCTATAATTTTTTGAGTAAGGTTACCACTTTTCTAAAAATAATAAGATTTTCAATGTTCATTGGACTGAGGTATCAAGTGAAATAAGCTTTTATTTTTTAATGGGGCTGCCACCTATTTAAAAATTGATAACTAACATATAATACTTGAAGGCGCTCTCTCTTCAAAATAGTTTTTTTTTGTTAGGTGCTGTATTCAAACAAGCGTAAGGAGCTGATGCTTTTTTTGTTTGCATATGTGAGCATGTATGTACATTAGGATGGTCCAAAAACAGTAAAGTCAGAATTGTAATGCTCTCACCCCCTAAGATTGTTCTGTATCGAAAAAATTATACCCCTAATTTTTTATTTTTGTCGCTCAAAGCGCTCTAAGTTTTCCATGTATTTTTATATGGGAAAAATAGTTTTTTTTGTAGAAATGGTATAGAATTCTTGAAAGTCAATATTTTTCGATCGGAAAACTCTGGTTCTCTTCAGGAGACTTTCAACAATAATTCCCAATTGTTTATTTAACCATTTTTTAGTACTAACGATTTTTCATTGGTCGCCCCATTGCATTTTTCGGGGTTTTTGTGGGTTTTTGGCAGACCTATAAATTATAGTTGCAATGAAAAAAATGGTTAAATAAAAAATTGGGTATTATTATTGGGAATCTCCTGCAGATAAGCAGAGTTTTCTGGTAGAAAAGTATTGATTTTTAAGTATTCTATACCACTTCTACGAAGTTGTTTTTTTCCCCATATAAAATACATGGAAAATTTTGGGTGCTTTGAGCGACCTCTAAATATTTTTTAATTTCAAAATAAAAAATAGGGGTATGCTCTTTTCGATATAGAACAATCCTAGGGAGTGATGCATTAAAATTCCGACCTTACTTATTTTGGACCACCCTAATGTACATACAGCCACTATAATTGTTCTTAAGTGTTCAGTCAAAAATATTTGAAACACAAAATTCAAATAAAATACGCTTACTTCCATGTTTTTGTTTAGTTTCGTCGCGTATTTCTGTCCTCTTCTCTCCCTCGCTAATTTGAGTATATGTATGTACAGCTATACATAGTATAAAGAAAAGGCGAGATATATTTTAACCACGCTACTGAACGGATTAAGACAAGATTTTTTATGTATATAATAAACGAAGTACATGATGACATATGATTTTTTTCTCCAAATACGTAAATGTACATTCATATGCATACACTCAGCGCGTGGCGAAGCCTCGCGCATCCGTGGCCGGCTAGTATTACATACATGCAAAACAAAAACTTTGGTAATTTGAATTTGCATACATAAAGGATATACATGAATTTGTTTTCGTATACATAATATACAAATAAAATTTTAATAAATTCCTTTTTATGCTTGAAACAAAATTTTATGCTTTAGATACGTCCCGATTTCGCCCACAGAAATCTAGTCGGCACAATTATCACACATTTTTCCGGCCGATAAAAAACACGTCAGCTAGTCGAAAACCAAATAGTGTTGAGCAGAAATCTAAAATTTACGGTTCGGTGACGGTCGCGAGACTGATAGAACTGATTCGTGACGGCGCAGGCTCAGTGAGAATTGTGGCTCTTAATTTTCTGGTAACCACGATTGAGAGAAATAGAGACTGCGCCAATCGCGGTACCGCTAAACCGCTCTTTGTGATTTTGACAGAATGAGCTGTGTGCGTGACGTCATATTGGTGCAATTGTTGAATGTGAGCATACGAAAAAAACAAAATAACAATTTTAATATTTGTGCGTTAATATTTCTGCGTGGTTTTTTAAGCAATTACTGAGACATTAAAAGGCAAAATGAAGTGTGAAGTGGCAAAGTGTAATAGTGAAAACCAAAGGAAAGCGTGAAATATAAGTTTTTTTTTTCGTTTCCTACGGACGCAAACCTGGCGAAAAAGTGGAAGCAGTTCTTCCGGGGAGGACATGAATTAGACACCAAATCGAGCTTTGTGCTATGTGTGTGAGCTATGAGCTTCTACATGGAACTATGTTGGCCTTTAATTGGTGAATTGTAGTAGTTATATTTCCATGGTGAAAGCAGACAGTTGCTGGTTTAGTTTGCTGGCAATGGCATACATACAAAAGCGGTTTCTACAGTAAATAGATACATGAACTTCACTACCACGCTCATGTGCTAAAAATCGTACTTACCTAAAGGGCTACATGTCCAAAATTATTGCTACGTGTTCCTAATTAATCAATCTTTGTATATTTATTGATTCCTGCAAAATTGGGTCATGTAATATTAAAATTAACACATTTTTCTGCATTGTTTACATATTTTTATATGCGTTTTGGCATTTCTCTCTCGTAATTGCACCAAGATGACGTCACGCAAAAATTACGCTCAAAAATTCTCTCTCATTGGCGCAATCTTGTATTCTATCATTCTTGTCTGGTAACGATATTTTTTTTTACTGATAAAGGGTGAACACACCAAAACTGCGACACTTTGGGAAGCTTATATCTTACCCAAAACGAATTCAATATTTTCAAAATCAAATACCATAAGCTGACCATGACGTTAGTTGGACGTAGAAGAAATTTCATTTGAATTTGATTCCTAGTTGAGTTAAAAATGGCAACCGACTTAGAAACGAGACAAACCATTTTGCACGAGTTTATAAATGATCCGGCCTTAAGTACACGTAAAATTGATAAAAATTAAAGATTGCACTATTCGACAGTTTGTAGGGTTTGCACTATTCAATCGACTGCAATCCACCCAATAGCCCAGAGCCACGTCCTATTGGGGAATATTGGTCAACTGTCAAAGGAATCTTGAAGAAAACAGGTGAAACAGTGAAAAATATTGAAGAGTGCAAAACAAAGTAGTTGTGCGCATCGCGTAAAGTCGATGATGCCGTCGTGCAGAACATGATGGCGCGTGTGCGATGAAAATACCGATCACTTGCATATGGAGCAAATAATAACTAATATTTTACCATTTTAATAACATCTAAACTTCCAAGTTATATAATACAAAAAAAAAAAATTTCAAAGTCTTCTAGTTTGTTCTGGTGGCAGCCAGATAGGTAGACCATGTGGACCGATCTACTCGAAAAAAAATTATTTATGGTCTGATTTACTTGAAATTCGATACATGTATTATTGATATATGTACTAATGTATGTACTAGCAGACCCGGCGAACTTCGTCCCGCCCAAAATTGAATTTATTTTATTGAAACTTTTCGGTCCAACATTTTCACCAAGAATTCACGTTTACGATTTTTATTGGCACATATATCTGCTTAGATTATGGTTTAGTGGTCATTTGCCGCTTTAAATAACCTAAGGAAAGTGTTATATCCGTGGAGAAGTTCTTCAAATTCTCCAACTGTGCAGCATTTCATAGCACGGTTATTCGCAAAACGAAATAAATTTGAAGATTTTTTTCCTCTTAACTTCCTGGCGGCAATGACCCGGTTCTATAGTGAATGTCCTAAAAGCTTTACAGTATAGTTGGTGGCAATTTTAAAATAGGTGCGAAACATGTTCTACAGAAATGCAACATACATATACTTATTTCAGACGAAATACCTTACAAGTTTGAACGCATAATAATATTGAAAAATCACATCCATTGGGCCAATCGCAACGCAGGAGCGTTCGATATACCCAATGGTGCAACAGATCGCTTTAATCTGACCTTCACGGCCCCTTTTCTCACTTGGCTATTTTTAGTAATTGCTCGACTTCAGCACCACTTGGCAGCACGTTTTTGTGGAGATACCAATGAAAGGGGTGAGTCTTTACTAAACTTTATATTAATAAGTAATTTAGATATAGCTAACCGGGGTGAGGAACCAACTTATATTGGCCCTACCTCGAAGAACGTCCTTGACATAACACTCCACTCTAGTGGGGGAATCGGAGTACAGAATTGGGAGGTGCTTAGTACACCCTCGTTCTCTGACCATAGGTATGTAGGATTTCAGGTAAAATTCTCAGCCCGTACAAAAAGCGAAACCTTCAGAAATCACAGGAATACAAACTGGG